ATATGGTGTTGTTAATATTAACCCAGACCCAGAAAAAAATCACATATATCACATATCGTGATGATAAATACGATTTGAGTCATCAAAAACCCCAACGTATTACATGATTAATAAATGTAACGTGTAGTAAACAAAGTTAGACCTGGCGGTTAAACATTTTATACCATCTACCATGAATAAGACATTAAAAATATTTAAAATTAATTTGGGGGTTCGAGGAGAAGACTCATATTGTGATAGGACCTTGAACATACCGCAAAGATGCGAGAAAAATGGGGCCATACCAAAATGGGGATCGATATTGATAATTATACCCTTCACCACACTGTGGTGCAGGGTATTATGTCTTTGTGCATATGTTTGTAAGAGGCAAAAGGAAACGAGATAGACACATGGTTCCTTTTGAGAATATGCATAGAATCACTTTCTGAGTCGATGTATGCATGTCCGTCCGTCTGTAGATGTTAAATTGTAAACAAAGTACAGGTCGCATTTATGATCCGATTTGGATGAAATTTGGCACAAGTCACTTATTTGGCCCAAGGACGAACCCTATTGAAATTGGGAAAAATCGGTTCAGATTTAGATATAGCTCCCATATATAGTTTCGTCCGATTTAAGGTAAATGAGGCACCAAGGTACCTCTTTATCTTTCGATTTGCATGAAATTTGGCACAGAGTACTGAATTAAATCTAGAATGATGTCTGCCAAGTTTCGTGAAAATCGGTCCAGATTTAGATATAGCTCCCATATATAGTTTCGTCCGATTTAAGGTAAATGGTGCACCAAAGTCCCTATATATCTTTCGATTTGTACGAAATTTGGCATAACGTACTAAATTGAGCCTAGAATGATGTCTGCCAAGTTTCATGAAAATCGGCCCAGATTTAGATATAGCTTCCATATATAGTTTCATCCGATTTCATGTAAATGGTGCACCAAAGTCCCTATATATCTTCCCATTTGCACGAAATTTGGCATGACGTATTGAATTGAGCCTAGAGCGATGTCTGCCAAGTTTCGTGCAAATCGGTTCAGATCTAGATATATATTTTTTTCGTCCGATATAATTTAAATAATGTGCCAAAGTTCTTATGTTGCATAGCGTACTGAATTTAGTCCAGAATTTTGTGTGCCAAGTTTCGTAAAAATCGGTTGAGATTTAGATATAGCTGATATGAAGTAATTGACGCACCAAAAAACCACTATATGGCTGATAGGAACTAAACGTACCGAAATTAGTATAACATCACCTGTGACAGGTTTCTTTGAAATCGTTTCATATTTGGGTATAGCTTCCATATATATTTTCGTCCGATTTTAAGTAAATTGTACATCAAACTCCTCATGTTTGTCGTCAAATTTTGCACAACGTACAAAATTGAGCCTAGAATAACGTAGTTGCGTTTTCTAGAAGCCGATTTGTTTGAAGTCGATTTTTATACTTTTGTCCCAAAAGAAAGACATCTTTATGTATAGATCTAGTCCGATTCACATTTAGATAAATATCCCATATTTTATTTCATCCAATTTCATGTTAATAATGCTGTTTAATATACCCATAGTGGTGAAGGGTATCATATAGTCGGCCCCGTCCGACTTTACTACTTTCCTTACTGGTTTTTGGTAATGAGATTTGACAGCTAATGATAATACCAAGTTACAGCCAATTTGGTTGAAAAACTTGTCCAAAAATACCGATTATTGGGGGGCACTGTTATATAGTGTTACCCTTAAACTTGGGTCAATACTAATAATTTTTGGTACGGAGATGTGTTATACAATTAGAAGTCAAAATACTACATTACAACCGATTCGGTTAAAAAATTTACCAAAACTTGGGTCAACCTTAATAATTTTTGGTAGTGAGATTTGACAACCAATGAAAATACATAAATTACAGCCAATTCGATTGAAATCGTGTCCACAATCCCCAAAATACCGAATATTGGGGTGAACCGTTACAAAATGGGGGATACGCCAAAACGTAAACCGATATATCCCATTTGCAATACCAAACATCCCACAAGTACTACCAATACCTGTTCATAATTTAAGAGCCCTATCATCTATCAGAATATTAGATTTTGGCATTTTTAAGATTAAAATTTTTCTTCAAATAGTGCATTATAAAATTTGATGGTGTATATTTTTGTTATTTTGTACCATCCTTCTAAAATGACATCTAGTGGAAAAAATTGGTACACACTGGGAAGAAGATCGATTTTAACACTAAAATTAATTCATATTTTTAAGATTTTTTTAAGTCTATGCTGATTTTCGAGTTTTGGGCTATTCTAAAAATCATAGTAAAACTTTATGACGAATATTTTTGTAGCATATACTGAGCTGCTATAACCCCGTTTTAAATGCGTTTTCAATCATTTCTGGCAGTCGGTGCTCCCGACAGATATATATCCTCAGTCCAATATATCAATATTGAAAATGTTGATCAGTTTTGGGGGAGGTACAAGAAGAAGTGGACCAATGGGTCTCATCTTCAGACTTGATCTATACTTGGTAAAAATAATAGGATTTGCAAGGTTTGGTACAAATCGGATAGACCGTTCGCATGATATTATGAAATTAATTTTCAGAACAAGTTTGAACTTTCTTTCGAACTTGAAGTAAGATTGACAGAGATACGTACAAAATGCTAAATTTCGATGAAAATGGCTACTCCCTTCGGCACACCAGCCGGTCAGACAGACGGACGGATATTTTCAAATCGTCTGAAACGGGGTCTTAAACCAATATTTCGATGAGGCACATTTTTGCTGTATCAATGTGTATATAACCTCATTAGTCATAAGGCTGGGAGTATAATATCGGGCCCAAATTTTTTTTTAAAACTTTGAGAAATCGAACGAACGAACTTTTGGAAGTTACTCTCGTATTTAATTGAGACATCTACAATTTCTAAACAGTTGATTTTGTCATGCCGTTTATACGAAGGATACTATTTATATTTCTATCTTCACCGAACTCAGTACGTTCTGACTTACAACAATGGCAAATGGAATTAGCTCGTGGATGTCCTGGAGGAGCATCAATCGAAGTTGAAAAAGCTATTCGTATTTATCATGCTGGTGAATACTTCGCAAAACCTACAAATCCATTTTTGATGATAAATATTCCCATTTTCACTATTAGAGAAATGTAAATTGTAGCCCCCGTACCCGCAAAATGTTGCTTATATCAAACTGAAATTTTGGACTAATTTATCTCCTAAATTCTTGAAGGAACATCAGAAGCTGGTGCCATAATGTGGAGTCAATAAAAATTTTCTCTTTTTTTGTCGCACCTCGAAATACTCACCGGATACACCATAAATAATATATTTTATATTCCTGATCCGAATAAAATTCTATGTAGAGTTATACACGTCCGTGTGTTGAAGTACCGATAGAGCTCGCAATACATAGAATATACATTTCGTACATGTATTGCTGTTATTTAAAATGGAATAGACCGATCCACGTTTTGATATAGCACCCATATTATGGTACCTTTCAATATTCGAAATTTTCAGAACGTTTTTATACCCTTCATCACACTGTGGCACATGTTATTATTATTTTTGCCTCTTACATATGTTTGTAAGAGGAAAAGGAATCGAGGTAGACCCATTGTTCCTTTTAATAATATGCTTAGAATCACTTTCTAAGTCGATTTATGTCCGTCCGTCTGTTGATGTTAAATTGTAAACAAAGTACAGGTCGCATTTATAATACAATTTGAATGAAATTTGGTACAACTCATTTATTTGGTCCAAGGAAATTGGTGAAAATCGGTTCAGATTTAGATGTAGCTACCATACATCTGACCACCAAAGTCCCTATATATTTTTCGATTTACACGAAATTTTGCATAGCATACTGGATTAAGTCTTGAATTATGTGTGCTAAGTTTTGTGAAAATCGGTTCAGATTTAGATATAGTTCCCATATATATTTTCGTCCGATTTTATGTTAATGGAGCACCAAAGCCCGTATATTTCTTTCAATTTACGCGAATTTCAGCATAGACTACTGAAGTAGGGCTAGAAATATGTGTGCTAAGTTTCATGAATATCCGTTCAGATTTAGATATTGTTTCCATATATATTTCCGTACGATTTTATGTTAATGGAGCAAAACAGTCCCTATATATCTTTCGATTTGCTCGAAATGTTATATTAGTAGGTTTAGATATAGATAAGGATCACATATTTAAGTTCGTTCAATTTCATGTTAATGTTCCTTCGAAAAGGCGACATCTGTTAGAATATATATGTAGAATATACCCAAAGTGGTGAAGGGTATCATATTGTTGGCCAAGACGGGTTCAATCTAATTAGTTGCAATTAATCGTCGGTTCTCATTGGTAATATTTCTAGGAAAAGTTATAAACATTGTTTCCCTATTTAGAGTGAACCCTTGTAGCGGTACCTCATAAATTCAGTTATTTTTGGTGAGTTTGATTTACAAACCCAAAGTATATATTCACGTCTTTCAGCTGAATATATATTTTGTATTATTATTAGATAGACAATCTTCCAATTAAAATCCAGCAATATTTGCCCCAGTTCTCAAGGTGCCACAATTTCTGGTATTTTGAAGATTTCAGTCAGGGTTTTCAAACATAACGCATCATTTTCGGTATGTTCAGATCCTAGCCGGTATTGCATTTACTCCTGGTAGCAAATTACCATATAATAGTCGCCAAATAAATGTCCCGATCGATATTAGGTATTTTGAACGTCCATTTCCTCGAGGAGGGTATAAAAAATTCGGTTCCGCATAACATAACGACAATTTTACTCATTTTAAATAAATTTTAAATCGATTATGGCAGATCTTTTCAGTGGCTTAATTATTATTACTTCTTGGAGTAATATTTTGGCGACTCTCAATAAAACTCCTTATTTACTGCGAAAATATTTTATAGGACCTGATTTTTTATTTGTTTTCTGTTAATCGTAAAATCGTAATAAATTTGGAATTTGAAATTTCAAACCATGAATGATGGTAAAAATGTACGTGGAAGTCCAAAAAATTTATGTGGAAGCTCGTGTGGAAGGACAAGTTGTTCATCACATTTGGATATCAAGGCAATAAAAACCCTTTTTACTATTTTCCCTAAATTTACAACCATGGTGTGGTGTATTAAATTCCCATCCATTTAAACGCTCCAAATAATCCCTCAGATTTTGTTTATTGCTTTCCTTTAAATTGCAGTCAATCAAAAATCTCACAACGAAGCCTTTTCAAAACCGGACGATAGGCTACATCAACGCCATCACAGCAGCAACAACAACATATAAAACAACAAAACGTCAGCTCTATCATCAACCACAACATCATTAGTGGTGCAATATCAACAACATCACCAGAAACATCATCGTTCAGTTCAGCCAACAATAAATACAAGAACGGAATAAACTACAACGAACCAATAAAACCCAGAAAAAAAGATAACAACAAAGATAAAAAACCAGGAAAGATGTCCTCCCCATCCTTGCTAACCGCAAAACTACCAACATTCGAGGAGATTCTAAAAACGGCCAAAGAGACATTTCGTCAAAATTTTGGCCAGCAGCCAGAATTAGCCTGCTGTGCACCGGGACGTGTTAATTTGATTGGTGAACATGTTGATTACAATGACGGTTATGTTTTGCCCATGGTAAGTTAAATTGCAGAGAATTTAGGCTGATTTTTTTGTTAAACCTAAAAAAGAAAATATTGAAATATAAAAGCAAATGCAATGGCATGTTAATTAATTAAGAACTGAACAAAATGAATATTTTTGGATGGTGGATTTTTTCTTTTTAATCAAATTTTCAGACAGATTATTAAAAAAGAAAATCACAGCATTTAAATAAAATATAATTTCTTTTATATTCCAACTACCTTAAATTTTTTAAGCAGGAAGTGGATATTTCTAGTTGATCATAACCATAAAATGAGATTACTCGTGCCAAAAACATGGAATGTGTGTGCTGTTGAATTGCTCTTCATAATGAATTCCCTTATGTTGGCATTCAACGTTTCGTTTCGTTTCGTTTCTTTTTTATTTATTTTTCCCTTTCCTTCTCTTGCTCTTTCACTGTAGGCCCTACCAATGGTTACGGTCATTGTTGGCGGTCAACGTCCGGGAAATGAAGTTGATTTAATTACATGCTGTGCTGGTGCTGATGATCCAAAGCGTGTTAAATTTTCATTAACGGATTTGCAACCTAGCCAAAAACCAAAGTAAGTATGCGGCTTTAAGCGATTACTATAATTACTCTTTCACGTGTTAATATTAAAGAAAAATAATTAAAAATTAAGGTGCACATTGTAAGTAACGCAAGTGAATTTTCGCAGTCTAAAAGATTTTTTTTTTTTCAGTATTATATCCTCTCAGAAAATGTTCCAAATCGTTTCATGTTTAAATAGTCCCAGATTGATAGTCCTTGAAAAAATGTTATTTATAATGTATTTTATAAAAAAACGTACTTTATAAAACCCACGCCTATTCTTTAAAAAAATCCACGCCTATTGATAGTCCTTGAAAAATATTCTTTAAAAAATCCACGCCTATTGATAGTCCTTGAAAAAAAATTCTTTAAAAAATCCACGCCTATTGATAGTCCTTGAAAAAATATTCTTTAAAAAATCCACGCCTATTCATAGCCCTTGAAAAAATATTCTTTAAAAAATCCATGCCAATTCATAGCCCTTGAAAAAATATTCTTTAAAAAATCCACGCCTATTGATAGTCCTAGAAAAAATATTCTTTAAAAAATCCACACCTATTGATAGTCCTTGAAAAAATATTCTTTAAAAAATCCACGCCTATTGATAGTCCTTGAAAAAATATTCTTTAAAAAATCCACGCCTATTGATAGTCCTAGAAAAAATATTCTTTACAAAATCTACGCCTATTGATAGTCCTAGAAAAAATATTCTTTAAAAAATCCACGCCTATTGATAGTCCTAGAAAAAATATTCTTTAAAAAATCCACGCCTATTGATAGTCCTTGAAAAAATATTCTTTAAAAAATCCACGCCTATTGATAGTCCTTGAAAAAATATTCTTTAAAAAATCCACGCCTATTGATAGTCCTTGAAAAAATATTCTTTAAAAAATCCACGCCTATTGATAGTCCTTGAAAAAAACATTCTTTAAAAAATCCACGCCTATTGATAGTCCTTGAAAAAATATTCTTTAAAAAATCCACGCCTATTAATAGACTTTAATTTGTTTAAAAAAAAAAAATATATTTAAAATTTTAAAATATTTGTCAACCATTCCCACATAATTTACCACCTATCATCATTGCCTTTTCCCATGACATTTTCAGACAATTAAAGAATTTTAATCTAAATGATACTTTCACCTAAAGTACTTAAATTTTTAATGATAAAAAATTATGCAATCAACTTCAACAACATTCCACCCAAAAACCCTAAACTACATTCTAACATTACTGGAAAATTGTTTTTTTTTTTTTTGTTTCACTGGCACTTATCTTTGTCTTGGGCCATAGTTTTGCATCTTGAAAATTGCCTTAAGTGTTCGTCACCTGTCGCAAACTGGTGAAAAAGGAGACCAAAAGTAACTGAAGATGTTAGCCAAACAAAGGATGAAAATGGAAATGAAAATCAACAGTGGCTTCTTTTGCATGCAACAAAAGGACAAAGTCGACTCGACAACAAGAAGAGGAAAAAAATTTAAAAGAACTCAACAACAAAGTAGGACGCACACACACACAAAGTAACATGACATTTGAAACAATGCTACCGCTGAACTTTTACATGTTTCGCCTGCAAACCGTTCGCCTGTCGTGTAGCTGTTGCACTTTATATTCATTCTTAATGTGAGCTATGTGCAGGCATCTATATGACTCGGATGTCTGTGTATATGAGTGTGTGGTGCGTCAGTATTGTGTTCATTTCCGTCCGATATTATATATCACAGGAAGAAAGGACGTTAAAACGGACAGACAGATGTGTGTCCTGCCGATTGTCTTTTGTTTGTCGTCTGTTCTTTTTTGGTTTCGTTTGAAGCCTTTTTTCGTCTTCTGCGTCTATGAACAAATATGAACGCAGGTGCACTTGTGTGTGTTTTTGTGTTTGCATGAGAAAGTACATTTATGTCCTTTAAAGTGACATTTGCATTTCAGACAAAAGTAAACTCCATTTTTGTAGTTCGTATGCCAGGTATCTAAATTGTGACTTCCGCTTGGTCTTATATTTCAGTGCTGTGTTTTTTTCGTTTTCTTATTTTAGACAAGTGATCGTTTTGCAAACTTGTAGCTTTCTTGTAAAACTCTATAGGAGTACGACAGATGACATGGGACACTGAGGGAAAAAACTGACAGATTTAAAGGGATTAGGTTAATCGCAAAATATTTAAAAGGGCTATAAGTAGGGTGGATTTCTCAAATAAAATTTTTTAAAGGACTACAATAGGCGTGGATTTTTTCAAATAATATTTTTAAATGAATAGGCGTGGATTTTTCAAAGAATTTTTTTTAAAGGACTACAATAGGCGTGGAATTTTCAAATAATATTTTTTAAATGAATAGGCGTGGATTTTTCAAAGAATTTTTTTTAAAGGACTACAATAGGCGTGGAATTTTCAAATAATATTTTTTTAAAAGACTACAATAGGCGTGGATTTTTCAAAGAATATTTTTTAAAGGACTACAATAGGCGTGGATTTTTCAAAGAATATTTTTTAAAGGACTACAATAGGCGTGGATTTTTTAACGAATATTTTTTAAAAGAATATTTTTTACAATAGGCGTGGATTTTTCAAATAATATTTTTTTAGACTACAATAGGCGTGGATTTTTGGAATATTTTTTAAAGGACTACAATTGGATTTTTAAAGAATATTTTTTAAAGGCCTACAATAGGCGTGGAATTTTTTCAAAGAATATTTTTTAAAGGACTACAATAGGCGTGGATTTTTTAAAGAATATTTTTTCAAGGACTACAATAGGCGTGGATTTTTTAAAGAATATTTTTTCAAGGACTACAATAGGCGTGGATTTTTTAAAGAATATTTTTTAAAGGACTACAATAGGCGTGGATTTTTTAAAGAATATTTTTTCAAGGACTACAAGAGGCGTGGATTTTTTAAAGAATATTTTTTCAAGGACTACAATGGGCGTAGATTTATAAAAAAATATTTTTCAAGGACTACAATACAATAGAATATTTTTTCAAGGACTACAATAGGCGTGGATTTTTTAAAGAATATTTTTTCAAGGACTACAATAGGCGTGGATTTTTTAAAGAATATTTTTTCAAGGACTACAATAGGCGTGGATTTTTTAAAGAATATTTTTTCAAGGACTACAATAGGCGTGGATTTTTTAAAGAATATTTTTTCAAGGACTACAATAGGCGTGGATTTTTAAAGAATATTTTTTCAAGGACTACAATAGGCGTGGATTTTTAAAGAATATTTTTTCAAGGCCTAGACCAAGGCGTGGATTTTTAAAGAATATTTTTTCAAGGACTACAATAGGCGTGGATTTTATAAAGAATATTTTTTAAAGGACTACAATAGGCGTGGATTTTTTAAAGACTATTTTTTCAAGGACTACAATAGGCGTGGATTTTTTAAAGACTATTTTTTCAAGGACTACAATAGGCGTGGATTTTTTAAAGACTATTTTTTCCAAGGACTACAATAGGCGTGGATTTTTTAAAGACTATTTTTTCAAGGACTACAATAGGCGTGGATTTTTTAAAGACTATTTTTTCAAGGACTACAATAGGCGTGGATTTTTTAAAGACTATTTTTTCAAGGACTACAATAGGCGTGGATTTTTTAAAGACTATTTTTTCAAGGACTACAATAGGCGTGGATTTTTTAAAGACTATTTTTTCAAGGACTACAATAGGCGTGGATTTTTTAAAGACTATTTTTTCAAGGACTACAATAGGCGTGGATTTTTTAAAGACTATTTTTTCAAGGACTACAATAGGCGTGGATTTTTTAAAGACTATTTTTTCAAGGACTACAATAGGCGTGGATTTTTTAAAGACTATTTTTTCAAGGACTACAATAGGCGTGGATTTTATATTTTGGATTTTTTAAAGACTATTTTTTCAAGGACTACAATAGGCGTGGATTTTTTAAAGACTATTTTTTCAAGGACTACAATAGGCGTGGATTTTTTAAAGACTATTTTTTCAAGGACTACAATAGGCGTGGATTTTTTAAAGACTATTTTTTCAAGGACTACAATAGGCGTGGATTTTTTAAAGACTATTTTTTCAAGGACTACAATAGGCGTGGATTTTTTAAAGACTATTTTTTCAAGGACTACAATAGGCGTGGATTTTTTAAAGACTATTTTTTCAAGGACTACAATAGGCGTGGATTTTTTAAAGACTATTTTTTCAAGGACTACAATAGGCGTGGATTTTTTAAAGACTATTTTTTCAAGGACTACAATAGGCGTGGATTTTTTAAAGACTATTTTTTCAAGGACTACAATAGGCGTGGATTTTTTAAAGACTATTTTTTCAAGGACTACAATAGGC